TTTTTCTACCAAAAAGGTTGTCAAATAGGCTCTGTCACACAATTGTGAAGCAATACGTGTTTGCAGTAAGTTTCTCATTCAATTGAAGCATTTAAAAGCCAAATGTTTTAGTTTATTCACGTAATTAGTTTGTCAAATATCTTTTATGTCATTGCCACGTGGGTTATTCCGTTAATTTTCGCAAACGGAAATTAATTCATGTATGAATATAATACAAATTTGTGAGTTCATGTATGATTTTAATACAAAGTTGAGTTAATGTATGATTTTTGTACATCAGGTGAAGTTCATGTACCATTCATACATTTACTCATGATATGTCGCCCATCTTTCTTTAATTATACCCTTGTTTGATAAAAAAATTTGAAAAAGTGATTTTTGTAACCATCATTTTCCATCATACACTCTAAAAAAATTATTTTCGGGTTTTCACGGTTTAATTACTTTATTCATCACTAAACTTTACCTAAAACTTCTATCAGATCACTAAACTTAAAAAACTACGTCGTTTATCACTGAACTTTCGAAACAGCAACCTCATCCATCACCAAACGAACTTTTGTTAAAAAACCCGACGGACTTGATGATGTGGCGGAAGAATAATGATGTCACACGTTTGTATAAGTGGTTTATGTCAAGTCAGCTAGTTATCAGTGATGTGGAAAATTTATGAAAGTTGCTCTGTCAATAAAAAGGTTCTTGACTTAAGAAAAAAAAAAAAAAGCATAAAATAATATTTGTCTTTTATGATACTATATTTCATCCAATACGGCATTATAATGCGAGAATCATCAAGAATAAGACGAGAAAGAGAGAACTGTAATGCTCTTATTTAGTACCCATTGAGTCCACTTTAAGGAAAGGGGAAACATGCTATCACTTGAAATTCAATCAAATATAGAAAAATTGAAATCAACTTCCAACTCCATAGCTTCATTTTCTTCTTTCTTTTTCATTTTTTCCCCTTTTCACCACAAACACAAAATGTGGCTCTAATTCCCAAAAATTGTTCTCTCCACCACCCTATAATTACTGTGTTTATTGACAGGTCTGATCATTGACAGCTAAGAGCATTTCTTTTCATGCTCAAAGCAAATGGGACCTCTTGCTCTTTTTTTCAACCCATCAAAGTCTTTGTTTTTCAATGGGCACTTTTTTAGTCTCATTCATTAAAACTGATTTTGGACTTATTGGGGTGTAAAAGAAAATATATATTTCACTTGAATTCACCACTTTCTGAAGTTGGTTGGTCCAATTTTCTCCTTTTACTCTGTGAAGAAATTGAACATGACCCAACTGTATTTTCATCACTTTTGTAGCTCAAGCATGCAACCTCCAACACCCCGTTGGGGCTTTGTGGCACATTAGTAGCAGCACTTGTCCCACTAGTTGTTGTCAAATCTTGAATCAGCTCAAGACACTTCACCACTCTTTCCTGCAAATCTCACAAACAAGAAGTTGCTAAACATATATACCACAAGGGGTAGACAGACTGAATAGTACTGAACAACCTCAAAACGAAAAGAAATTGACAGTAGATTAGACAACAAATAAGTTATTAAACATATATATGATGTTCGGTATGCGGCACCAGAAAGAGTTAAGGAAGAAAATGAAGTTGAAAAATCTTTTGCCTCGTTCTTCGAAGTATTATCTAGTACTGCATACCAAATGCGGTCGTGAAGTTGATAATGACTAAAGCAAGAAACAAAAATTGTGTTGTCTAAGGTGTCTCAAGTGGGTATGTGTATGTCGTCTAGTATATCTTGTTCGTTGTCATGTAAAATGTTGTCTAGTATTGCGTATCGAACGTGCTCTTAAAGCTGAAAGTGACTAAAGCAAGCAAAAAAGATTGTCTTGTCTAAGGTTTTATTGAAGTGGGGACCAAAATAAATCACCTTTGCTACTCCAGTCAGTCCAGTGGAACCAGACAGTGCCTTATCAATGTTCATTGCTTGAATTTCCCCGGAAACATACATTGCCACCGCTGCAGCCATTTCGGAAGGCCTGAATTCCAAGAAATTAATGCCTGCATTCAATTCCCAACCAAACACTGAATCAAACGCTTATAATTTTAGGACCAAATAGTACATTGTACTCGTACGAATAGTAATATATATCACACATGAAAGAGGGACCTTTGATTATATTCATGATGAGTTGATTTGATCTAGTAATCAAAGGCCCTGACGGAAGTTCATCATCATTGATCTTCTTAAGGAAATAGTCTATGAAATTGCATGGAGTATAAGCTTGCATTTTCCATTTCAAGATGCTCAATATCAAAAGCTCCATTCTTCGTATGGTTTTCCCTTCAAACAAAAATTTTGGTTCCCCCACCTATAACGTTCAAATAAACTCTCAAAACCGTTAATAGAAGTAACATAATACCTCAATACAACAACAAATTACAAGCATATTTAATAAGCAGTTTTGAACATGAACTGGATAGTGCAATGAACAAGATTTTAGTTTCTTTCTTCGTTATTCATGCTATCCAGTCCTATCCAATCTTCCCTAACAAAACTTGTTACAAGGCTTCCCAAAAGCATAGGAGAGGTGCAAGGCCACAATGTAGCCCTATATCACCCACGATCATGCCCGGGAATCACCCCAAGCACTAATAGTTTGGGCATTTACTTATCCTTTACAAAATAGGATCACCCTCATATTAAAATGATGCTTTGAATCACCTTCCCAGTATATAGAGTTGAAATCTTTTCCATCTATCTGTTCTAAAAATTGAAAGATCGAGATAATGCATGTCACTTATATGTTAATTTCACCTGTAAGTCCACAGTGGAAGGGACTTCAATCTCCTCCATCTTGGCTGCTATAGATAAACAAGCCACAGCCACCAATTGAATTGCCCATGTTTTACCTCTCTATGAAAATTGAAGTGCAGGAAATCAGTATTTTACTTTCAAAACAAGCTGCTAATCAAAAGTAAAAATCAAATTTTACTTTCCAATGAACTTACTGGCAAGTCATAAACAGATAAAAATCTGTCCAAGTAATTCATAGCCAAACA